CCCAGCCTCCACCTGCTTTGCTATTATGGACAAAATGGAGGCAGAAGAGAATCATACAGGGAAGACAAAGCTACCTGCTACCCCAGAGGGGAAAAGGGATTTATTTAGAAGATGCTTGGAGATTAAATGGTGGCTTGCCAATATAGCTGGAGTGGAATGGTGTGGTGAGGAGAAGAAATTATTGTTTTTACCTTTATAGTTACTGCTGTGACCAAGTCCTTGTTGGGGCAGGTGTCTGTGATCAACTGATCCAAAACTCCAGTCAAACCACAACAATTTAGCTGTAATGGCATAAGCACAGGGCACATTAAAAAAAGACAGAATAGAAAAGTCTGGTTCAGCTATTAACTGAGTTGGCACTACATGGACCTCTACACACACTCACATCCCCACTCCCTTTGAAGAAATTAGAGAAACTAAGTGTGGAAGGGAGACTTACCGCATGGTGTATGGCCTTGAGGGTGTCCTTGTAGGGGCCTTCTTTGGTCCTCATTTTGTTGTATGTTTCCCTATAAAATTCCTGGATCTCCTTAATCACCTACAGGTGGACACAAGGAAGACACTTATTCCACAAATCCTTTTGCTCATTCCTTGTAGCAACTGTTGAAAACCATTTCTATATAAGTGCTCATCCCCCTTTCCCTCTTTCAGTAGATGTGTACATAGAGGGTGGTGTCTCAAAAGTCTTAGTGAAGTTTTAAGCTTTAATAAAAAGGAAGGACAAGAGAGAAATCTCTTTCTAGCTTTGAGCATTGAGTTGTCCTTTTCCCCTATGTGACATTCTCACGTCATTCCTTTACAATGCAAACTAAATGACTCTCCATTTCTTTGTCTCACTCATGCCATTTCCTTGCTCGAAATTTCTCACCACATCTCTGCCTCTAGAAATTTTAGCTTGAATATTACCTTCTTCCATGAAATCTTCTTGGATCCCCTCAGCTAGGTGAGACCTCTTTTACCCTTGGACTCATAATATTTTTTGTACCTTTCAGAACATTCATCATGTTCTGTCTTGTATTCTGGTTATTTGTCTTCGTCTTATCTTCTCTACTAGGGGAGGAACCTTGTTTCCTACAGCTTTATAACCTCTATAATATTTATTACATTTACTGAGCAGGTACTGTATAAACATATACTGACTAAATAAGGATACTAATGTGTCCATCTCATCTCTGTTTTCTGGGAAGGCTATGTCTTCTCAGGTCCTTTTTTTTTTTTTTGGCAGGGGGGCTAAGGGGGTAGGGCTGGGATGGCAAGGGGCATTGAGGAAAGGGTAGCCCACTATGTTCACCCAAGTGTTATAAGAGCCAAAGGGGATGAGGCCTGAGAAAAGGCAACCGGATGTTATAATTAGCTTGTTGCCAATTAGAAACATTAGTTTCCACCAAAGACTTCCTCAACACTTTCAACTGAAGGAGCAGAGATGGTCCCTAGCATGTACATACATGCACATGTATGTGTATGTGAGCATGTGTTTATGTTATTTCATAACAGACCAAGATTTTGCTAAAGACTGGTAAAGAAGACATCAGGAACAATGCCACACCTTTTGAATCTAGACTACTCCAAGAAATGAAAGAGAGTCCTTTAAGGCAAAGCCTACCTCTTCTTTGTGAGAATAACCCCAGATGGCAGCAGCTATTTCGATAGCAAAAATCACCAACAGGAAGGCAAAGAACTAAAAGACAAAAAGAGGAACAGGGGTCAGGAGAAAAAAAACCCCCCACACATAAAAGTAGTTAGAGCATGGGATTTCAGGATGCGTTTTATACAATTTTAAGCTTATCCTTAGTAGAGTTCTCAATGCATCCTGAAACAAAGGAGAAGGAAACCCTAGGGAAGGGGTTTCTGGGAGCACAAATAATTAAGTCACATGTCAGGGAGAAAAAGGGAAAGTATTATAGTAGCAGTAGGATTAAAAGTCACAAAAAAAAAGCCAAAGACTTAGAAGAGATAAAATACAGATAATAGAAAGTCGCTCCTAAATTGATAAATTTACAAAAGCATGGCCACATTTTACTTGCAAAGATCCTAAATATTGGGAAAAGGGAAAGGAGGTGATAGATGCCAGGAAGAGTTAAGGGAACTGGAGTTATTTTTGGTGGAGAGAGGAAAAAAGATACCTGTGGATTCAGGGAAAAAAAGCAAACGTGGTCTTCAAAAAAAGAAAAAGCAAAGTTCTGGCACTTAGTTGCCTAGGGGTAGCCATGGAATAGATTTCAGGAGGAAAGAAAAGAAAACCAGTCACCACCAAGGAGAACTAGATATAACTAGGCTAACCACCCGCCACCCCCATCTCTTGCTAATAGATATGGAGGTCTACCATAAGGGAAGAGAGTGCTAGGGAGATATTGGGATCATTTCCTTGGAGAACTCTATTCGAAGCCAAAGAGGGATTCTGTGCCATCTGTGCCTGGTTGGGACACAGGATCAGAGGGGAGCGATGAGACAGTTTCAAAAGGGACACTCACCAAGCCCAGCATGCATTGTGACTCCTGCACAGCACCACAGCAGCCCAGGAAACCTACCAGCATCATGAGGGCACCAGCCCCAATCAAGATATAAACACCTAAGAGAACAAAAGGAAGAGAAGAAAAAACACACTCAGTTGCTCCTTAGCACAGCTCTGCAAAAACAAAAACAACAACAACAACAAAAAGCCCCAAACAACATCTACTGCACTGGTTGATTTTGTACACTAGGCCCAAGAAAAATGCATAGCGAAATAGCAAGAATTTAGAGGCAGAAAACATAACTGGATCACTAGCTAAATCAGTGGGCTTCTCTAGCTCTCCATTTCTCTATTGTGATGAGAAACGAGAGTGATATCAACCATTTTTTTCTTTTTAAACAAGACTGGTTGGGATGTTATGGAGAATACATGCCTCCTAATTTGCCAAGAAAACGTTTAAGGATTCAGGGAAATGGATAGTGTACTAAATTTCACAGAAGATGTCCTCTGGTAGTATTATGGTCTAACTGGACTTCAGTGGTAAGTCTTATAAAGTGAAGAGCTGCCAGCTTCTTAATACTGTGAATTGCTAGAAAATAGGAATAGCTTTGTATGTGATGTTCTTCATAAAGTACCTCATATAGGATCATAGTTAAGGAGATGCTTATCAATGCAGCTAGTGGATAGAAGACCAGACCTGGAGTCATGAAGACAGTAATTGGCTGTGTGACCCTGGACAAGTCATCTGTAAAATGAGGATAATGAGCATACCCACCTCACAGGGTTGTTGTGAGGATCAAATGAGATATTTGTAAAGCACTTTGAAGTGCTAATAGAAGTGCTAGCTATGATTATCATTAATGTTTATGTGGATGAATTTTTAAATTTTAAAAATATCTTATTTCCTCCCAATTACATGTAAAAACAATTTTTAACATTCATTAAAAAAAAGTTTTGAGTTCAATATTCTATTCCTCCCCCCCTTCTCTCTGAGAGGGCAAGCAATCTAATATAGGTTATACATACGCAATCATGTAAAATGTATTTCCATAGTAATCATTTTGTGGAAGAAAACTTGAACCAAAAAAAAAAAAACAGAAAGAAAGGGAGAGAGAAAGAAAGAAAAAATATTATGCTTCAATCTGTACTTAGATGCCATTAGTTCCTTCTCTAGAGGCAGGTAGCATTTTTCATCATAAATCCTTTTGGATTGTCTTGGATCACTGTATTGCTGAGAATAGCTAAGTGATTCACAATTGTTCATCATACAACATTGCTGTTATTGTGTACAATGTTCTCCTTCTGGTTCTGTTCACTTCAGTCTGCAATAGTTCATATAAGTCTTTCCAGGTTTTTCTGAAATTTGCCTGTTTCGTCATTTCTTATAGCACAATATTTCACCACAATCATATACCACAAATTGTTCAGCCATTCCTCAAATGGTGGGTATCCCTTCAATTTTCAGTTCTTTTTCACCAGAAAAAGAGCTACTATAAATAGTTTTGTACTAATAGGTCCTTTTCCCTTTTTTTGATCTCTTTGGTATTGGTAATGGTATTGCTGGATGAAAGAGTATGCACAGTTTTATAGCCCTTTGGACATATAGTTCCAAATCGCTCTTCAGAACGGTTGGATCGGTTCACAACTCCACCAAAAGTGCATCAGTGTCCTGGTTTTCCCACATCTCCTCCACCATTTATTATTTTTCTTTCCTGTCCTATTAGCCAATCTGAAACGAGTACAGTGGTACTTGAGAGTTGTTTTAATTTGCATTTCTCTGTGAATAGTGATTTAGAACATTTTCTCATATGACTATAGATAGCTTTGATTTCTTCATCTGAAAACTACCTGTTCATATCCTTTAACCATTAATCAACTGACAAATGACATGTATTCTTATAACTTTGATACAGTTCTCTACGTATCTGAGAAAAGGGGCCTTTATCAGAGATACTTGCAGTAAAATTCTTTCCCTGGTTTTCTGCTTTCCTTCTAAGTTTGGTTGCATTGTTTTTATTTGTGCAGTCAACCTTTGATGACTCTAGTTAAGGAGAAAGTGCCAAGTTGGCATTGGTAGAGGAAGCTTCTCACCAGGAATTCCCTTTGCCAATGAGATCACAGGTCCAATTTCTTAGATCTGCTAAAAGTCATAGGATACAAAGAAAAAAGGCAAAACTTCCCTGCCTTTAGCTTACATTCTAATGAAGGAGAAGCAACTATATAAACAGGTAAAAGAAGATCCATTCAGAGTAGATGGCTCTGGAAGTGTTGGCTGTGTGACCTTGGGCAAAGAACTTAACCTCCCTTAGTGCTTAGCCACAGTAGTAGGACTAAAACTTGGGTCTTCAAGACCTTGTGAGCATGGTGTACTGCCTCTCATGAATACACAGAATTATAGTTAAAATGATAACTACTAATATAGATAGTGTTGAGATTATGATGCTAGGACCAGATAGTCATAAAGATAAAACCTGAAGGGTACCTCAGAGCTCTTCTAAACTAAGTCCCTCATTTTTCAGGTGAGGAAGCAGAGTCCCAGAGATGTGATTTGCCTGATCACAAAGATTAAAAAGCCCAGCTGGCACTTGAAGCCAAGCCCTCGGCCTTCCAGGCCAGTGCTCTTTGTACCCTTCTTCAATTGCTTCTTTCAGGAGCTTCAAGCATTTATGGGCATTTTGTTCATTCCCAATCATGACACTTGATATCCACATCCAATTTAGGGATAGGAAAAACATAGGCTTGAGAATGGACTTATTCAAGATCGGCAGTAATGGTTCTCATAACACATCCAGGCCAGAAAGCCCCAGGCCCAAGTCAGTACTGAGCCACAGCTTTGCATGCATTTGCAAGATGGGTGACTCTGAAGCCGAGGGCCTGTAGCCAAGAATTCACACTTCCTCTGCCTTCACTGACCACCACCTATCTAGAGTGATGTCAAGTCACTTGAGTTTCCTGTAAAATACTTGTAATTATGGTTATAATTTCTGGACAATCCCAGGGTTGAATGACTTATACGGGGGAGGAGTACAAACCCAGGTTACATCTAAATGTTGGGTCTCTTAGAACCAAGCTGCATTACCATACGATGATGAATGCAATAGGTATAAACTGCACTGTGGGGAGCCAATACGACCACAAAAGATCATGTCTGCTAACATTTTATGGCTCAGAAAAAAATGTTTTCCTCAAAACAATTACACAACACAGAGAGTGCAAGTATTATTTCCATTTTAAAGAGGATGAAACTGGGGTTCAGTGAGTTTACGTGATGCTCACAGCCACAGAGCTAGGAAGTGTTAGAAGGCAGGATTTTTCTTTCTTTCTTTCTTTTTTTGGCTAGACAATGGGGTTAAGTGACTTGCCCAGGGTCACACAGCTAGTGAGTGTCAAGTGTCTGAGACCAGATTTGAACTCAGGGCCTCCTGACTCCAGGGCTGGTGCTCTAGATCCACTGCGCCACCTAGCTGACCCTGTTTTTGTTTTTGTTTTTTTGTTTTTAAACTAAGTTATTCCAAACCTGGAGATTAGATTTTAATGGTGGCCCAGTTTTTTTTTAAATTTTTAAAAATTTTTATTTTTTAGAAGGCAGGATAAACCCAGGACTTCTGACTCCAAGTCCAGTGCTCTTTTAACTACTACTAACAATGCCTCTTGGTTGGGAGTTAGCAGGCCAAGGTCCTTGTCCACTCGGCTACCCCGCAGCTCAGTGGGGTTGGTGTCTTTTCCTGCTTCTACCTGGGGCATGGAAAGGATGAGTTGAGTCAGGGCATTCCCCAATCTGGCTCCCACCTCCTTCTCCAGCTCTGTTTCACCACAATCTTCTTGATGAACTCTCCATTTCCAGCCAGACTGGACAAGTAGCTACTTCCTGAACCTGACATTATGTCATTGTCTGCCTCCGAGCATTTAAATGACGCCCTTCCTCACTCCCATGCTCAGAAGGCGCAGATTCCTTATCTTGTTTCAGCCTTTCCAGTTCTGGGCCCTATTTCTGGGTGTTTTCCTTCCTCAATCAACTTCCATTTACTTATTTGTGGATTTGCCGTAGCCTCCAGCACAACAAGGCAAGCTTCTAGAGAACCAAGAATATTTGACATCCTTTTGTCCATGGATCCCTGGAGCCTAGCACCATGTCTTGCACAAAAATAGGCACTTAAACATTATTTATTGAATTAAATGAAAGATGGTGCAGAATGTGTAGTCAGAACAACATTAGTTCAAATGCAACCTCAGACATTTAGTGGTTGTGTGACCTTGGGCAAATCACTTGACCTCTCTATACAATGGGGACAATAATAGCACCAACCTCCCCACAATTGTTTTGAGGAGAAAATGAGAAATTTGTAAAGTGCTTTGCAACATCTTAAAGTGCTATGTTAATATAAGCCATTATTCATAAAAGGAGTGATTAAGAAATTAAAAATGATTTACAATTCATGAAGATGGAAAGATTCCTCCAAATTTGATCAAATCCAATTTTATATAACAGAGGGACCATGGATACAGGAGAGGGCACTAACAGAACTCAAGTGTCTAGAAAACATCCCTATCACTTACACAGAACAGATGTTCTAGTGGTTATAAAAATCAAGCATAAAGGGCTATTCTTTATGAGACAACGGAGCAGAAGTATTCTCTTTTCTTTCTTTCTTTTTGCTAGGCAATGGGGTTAAGTGACTAGACCAGGGTCACACTGCTAGTAAGTGTCAAGTGTCTGAGGCTGGATTTGAATTCAGGTCCTCCTGACTCCAGGGCCCGGCTGCTCCTGAAAGAGTGTTTTCTAACCATAGATGCAGCTGTCTTAATGGTTCTCTCTATTTTTTTACTTAGACAGCTAGGGAACAGGCTGGTGGTGAGGATGGTGGCTTTTTTCGGGTCAGTCGACAAGTGTGTATTAAGCACCCACTGTGTGCCAGGTACTGCGCTACGTGTTAGGAATACAAGAAGGACAAAAGACAGTCCCTGCTCTCAAGGAGCTCCCAGTCTAATGAGGGAGACACTAGGCAAATGACAATGAGCAAACAAGATACAGACAGGATAAATTGGGGATGTCCTTGGAAGCAAGGCACTGAGATTAAGAGGGAAAGCTTCTTACAGAAGGTAGGACCTTAGTAGAG